AAAATCTTCGGGGCCGCACGGTCCTTTATGGAGGACCGCGCAGCCCCCAGGTACTTTCCGCTGAGAGAAAGTACCTCAAACTTGAGTAATTAAAACCATCGATGACTCCTCTGCCATGTAAAGTCTCACCTTTGCTCGGCGTACACCCGAAACTGCTCAAAAACCGTCCGAGCGCCAGCTGAAAATTTGACCAGCGCTCGCTGAAAGAGATTATTTGACGAGCGCCTGCAGAAAATTCTTTGTTGCTCCCCGCTGGCAGAACTGCCGCCCGCTAAAGGCTTGGCCACGCCTCAAAATTCTGCTGAGCGCCTGCAGAAAAACGCGAATTTGCGGACCGCCTGCCCCCGACGATTGTCCGAGTCCCCGTTCCTTCTCTTATCTGTATCTTTTGAGACTATACTATGCACGACGTCAGGCGCTTGCATGCAAATTTTGTCAAAATTGAGCAACTTTTATAGGAACATCCTTTTTTCTAAGCCGTAAACACGATAAGTGTCTTTTTTGCGAACTCTAGTATGGACGCGAAGACGTGAAGTTTACACGTACGGCGGTTCGTGATAGCGAAAGAGCTCGCAAAGCAACGCTCTGAGCTGGGGTAATAAAACAACGTTCTGAGCTGTGTGAAATACTCTGCCCAGCATAGCTGGGAAACTATACAGCAGGTTCTAGCAATCATATTACACTTCTTTTCGGAAACTGAAAAGGATTGGAAAGAAATTCCAAATCAAATTTGTTGATTCCAAAACTCTTCAGAAAAGCTTGATGACTGATGTGTTTTAGAGAAACACCGAAGCATGTAAATAGATTCTGATTTATGCCTAACGATACATTTTTCACATCTTCTTAAAGATGTATTTGCAGGCGCGGGGAGCCGCGCGGTTCCCCGCCATCTGATGATTTTTGAATGCAGCTTACGATTCCTTGCATATTGATTACCAGTGCCTCACCTCTGCTTCGCAGAGCCTCGCACTGGCCCTACTTTCTATATGGCTTACTCATTTCCGCATAGTAATGGCACTGAAACTCACCGCGTTATGCAGGCTATCACGAATGATTTGTAAACAACTACTCATTCCTAGAGGTTTTTGTGCGAGATCGGTAATTTCACGTGGATGAAACCTCTCCCAAAGGAATAAACGCAAATTTGAATTAGTTTTTGGACTTTTTATGGCTTGGTAGCCGTCATAAGGACAATGAGTATCGTGGGCTACGTCTCTGTGCAAAAATCTTCTCAGATGATCAGGTAAAATCTTGGCGAATTGAACATTTACGCAACTAATTCTTTTTGGCGCCATTATTGTAAAGTGGCCAACCTTAGTTACTTTCTGGGCTAAAATCCATGGCTTCCACATTAGCTTGTCAAACATATCCATAACTTTGCAAAAGGTTCCATACGGATCCAATTATGCTGGCGAGAAGAAGTGTGGATCCGCTTGACACGCAAGTTTCAAAGGATCCGCTCAACGGACTCGCTATGCTTTTTCACAAAGGACTTGCATGCTAGCATATGCTGTGCCAAATTTGGGCTCAAGAAATTGGCTGGAATCTGCTCTACGAATTTCGTAACGGACAGACAGACACACACACGTACAAGAAGACGTAAACAACCCTTAGCCCGTTATTATAAGTCATGATCTATCTTTTTGCATACCAGTGATTCTTGACTTCTGTTGATTCTTTGTTATAGCTTTATCGTAAAGCATATCAAATGCCTTTAATATGGTTCAAATTTTGCTAGTGTCTCAAATGATCACTGCATTAATGCCTTCTGTTAAGAAGTTTCAAGGTATTATCAGGGTGAACCGCAAAAATGGGACAGCTGGATTTTTATTACACTTTGAAGTTTTTTGTTTCGATCAAGAGCAAGTAGGCTGCAACTAAAACGTCGCTTACATAACCGACCTTCGCCTACTATCCTGGTAACGCGTTAACGCTCCTCTCCCACAACGCTTGGCGTGGCTCCTCGAAGTACTCGAACAGGGTTTTTTGAACATCTCTCTTACTTGCGCTGCTATACCGTAAAGTCATAAAGCAATTGACGTCATTCAAAAGAGCTCTTCATGCTCTTTCGAACAATCCGTTAAACATATAGGATTCCCTTTTAATTCTTGATTAAAAAAAGCAAAATACCTGAAATTTGCGATTTTTTGCGCAATTAAACCAAAAATCATGTTTCAACCTATATCCTCTAAGAACAGATGAAATTTAAGGTAAACTGCATATGGATGGATAGTGCGTAAAGAGCTATATCAGACAACGTGCCTTCACTTGCAAAGAATTAAATAGCACGCACTTTGTTCCGAAAAATGCTAATGGACATATCTCACGACTCTAAAGGCAGTGGCTCGGCAAATCTCAACCTAGTCAAATTTTCGCTTACCTAGGGTTATTCAATAGGATGCTCACGAAAATTCAATTTACAGGGCTCGAAAACGGCGAGAACGAGCGTTTTTTAATGCCTTTTCCCTGAAAATTGGACGAGTGAAGCAAGGCTAATGACGCTGAATCCTTGCGGGACCCAATGGTTATAGTATTGCGGCGGGCAACCTCCAATGGTGAGAAGGAACTTGGCAACTCGACCGGGTGCGTGTAAGATTGGCTTGCGCGTATGAATTTGAGAGCAATTTTCTCGACAGTGAAGGCATGCTGGCAAACGGGATTGCACTTTTTCCATACTTGGACCATAAGGAACCTATCGCGTCAAAAACCTGAGTTGTTGTGTTTTGCCGATCTACTGCCTTTAAGCGTTTGCGGCCAGCAAGCCGTCGTGGGTTTGGTAACTGTACCTTCACCCATGTAGCAGTGTTATTTTGAATAGTCTCATATGTTTTACTACGCAGATACTGCTCGAAGATTATAATTTGTCGAAGTGACTAACTTTGTATTTCAGCAAGTATAAAAACTACTAAGTATGTTGATGACCTTATATGGGCGTCATCTGAAAGAAAACAATATATTCTAATACATACCAAAATTGGAAAGTTTAATCACTTCGATTTTTTGAAATATCTACAGTTATTCCCCAGGTGTCCCATTTTTTACCGTTCACCTTAATATTATCTCATGCCAGTGGCGTACCGAGGGGGGGGGGCGGGGGGGGGCGCGCGCCCCCCCCGAGAACGGGTCGCGAAATTTTTGAAAGTTACTTACATGCGTTATAAAAATGTGCAAATGACTTGTTTATTTTTGTAAACAATTAAAATAATTTTTAAAATTTTTTGAAAATTCAAATTAGCCTTATGAAAAATTTTTTTTCGGGGGCGTGGCTGACGCCACGCCCCCTTTTTCCAGATTTTAGGGGTTGAGGGCCCGCAAAATTGTTGAGAAGCCCCCCTAAAAATTTTTCGGAGTGCGTGGCTGACGCCACGCACCTTCATTTGAAAATTTTTTTTGCCGCGCCCCCCCCGAGCCGAAATCCTGGGTACGCCACTGTCTCATGCATGTATACACAATTGTCATTGGCATACCCATCTTACTGCATATTTGGTATTTGATTGTTTGCCATAGCATTTCTCTCGTCCGCTCTATATCTATACTTCCATGTGCCGCAACGTTCTATGTCGTTATTTAACATCGTTATAATGAAAAGTTGAAGTTATAGCGTTGTAGTGTAAGCACACCAAGAAGCTACACAGACAATGGAGGTTTTCAACCTGCAACTACAAAGCCACCGCACCCCACCAAAAGCTCCCTGCCTTATCGCCTCACCGTCGTCTCCCGCTGAGAACGTAGAAGCGAACGGATCAAAAATATGGGACTGAGCGGGGCGCTAAAGCTGGCAGCGGGCGGACTACTGTAAGGTTTTCAGTGGGAAGCGAAAGTCTCGGCGATCAGGGGGGCACGGCACTTTCGGTGGGTTTTGGCGGTGGCTTTGTGGCTGCCGGCTGAAAGCGTTTGATTGTCTGAGTGGCCTTGTAGGCTGTTTCACCTGCTCAGATAATCAGAGGCTGTCAACCGGCCCCACCAAAAGCGCCGTTGCTTTATCACCGCCATTTTTCGCTTCCCGCTGAGAAACTTTGCTAGAACTGGTAGCGAGCGGGCTGCCAGTTCTAGCAAAGTGGCCGGCCATGCCTTATTCCGCCACTTTGGCTTCGAGCTGAAGACTTTGTGGCAGCCCGCTCGCTGCCAGTTCTAGCAAAGTTTCTCGCTGGAAGCGAAAGTGGCGGCGATAAGGTAACGGCGCTTTTAGTGGGCCCGGCTGACAGCCTTTGATTAGTAGATCGATCCCGGGCCTTATACAGCGCGACGCCGCACGCCGCACATTGCATGCAGCATGCATAATCACTAGATGCCGCATATTCGACGACGTATAACCAATGCCGTTTGAGCATATACATAAGTAGTTTCCGCAACGAGATAGTTTGAACATCGTTGCAGCACAGAGTTTAGCAAGTTCATCAAAGCTATATCTGTAAAGGTCTACGCCGCAAGCTAGGTGTCGATCCTTCAAGTTCCCTTTCTCGGCAGATGACCGCAAGTTCTAAACTGCTATCGTTTCTTGATAGTGTTTTTGGTTTTTGTTTCTATACTTTTGCGTAGCATTCTGAGCAATTCCAAATGTAAGTGGAGCAAGCCGAGATGCAATTATAATCAATGATAAGTTCGAAATTTTCAAATTTTCTGCGCGTCAAAGTTTGAGAGGAATCCTCAGGCAGTGAATCGACAGAATGGACCCTGTTTGAGGAGTATACCCTCCAACTACACCGTAGCCCCAACCCCTCCAATACATGCGCTAAGTTCTGTTAAGGAGCTTCAAAACTATACCAGCCCCGCCCACTTACTTTAGGTGGGCGTCATTGGTGAAGTTTTAAAGCGCTTTTGCGTGAATTGGAGGGTGGGATTGGGACTACGATGTAGTTGGAGGGTATAATACCCGAAACTACCAAAATCTGGCAGGGGTCTATTCCGCTGATCACTGCCTTTGACTGCAGAGTCTTACTAAAGCACAGTGTAATTTACGGAAGCCAGAATATACTCGTCGAGGTGCATAGGGAACCAACCTCTAACAGATTAAGGTCCACCTCCTGTCTTCGCAAAATGGTAGAATGAGAGTTACTTAAAACGTTGACGACCGAGCCATTTTTGACCACCTCAAAATGGACTGATGATCTACGCCTGCGGTTTGGACTGTTTGACACCTACTGCAATGCCGTGTGTTCTATATGACAACCAGGCCACCAGTGCTACCACTGCATAGAAGTTACCTGAGGACTTTTTGTTTACACATGATAAATTGATGCACGAAAGTGCTAAAAGGTGGTCTGGGAGTGCATACGCGCGGATGCACACGGTCGTCAACGTGTTAAGCAACAGAGTATACGTGGCGCGCTTAGGTGTTTCATGAGCTTGCAAGTTGCCCAGGCTTTCACTCGTGAGTGAGAGATTATGCGGAACTTTTGTGGCATTTCCTGAATCTCCAAGCCGGCCCATATTTCGTTGCGTTTCTACAAAACTTGTTCAAAAGTGATTTTCAATTTTGGTGTAGGACCTAGATCAAAGTAGTCTTTATTATCACGACTATGCCAAAAGACCAACAAGTAAAAACGAGTCCTCCAGTGTTACTTGAGAGCTTGACTCAATTTCACTGCAACCTCTATGGGTTGTTTCATACTGCCGCACTGACTGCGCAGACTGCTTGACCGCACTGACCGCAACGGCCGCACAATCACTGCATCCTTTCGTAAAAGAGAAAATAGTTGCGAATACATTGAAAGTCCGTGATTTACGCCTAGTAAGATCATAGATTTTAACTTACTCAATTAAATTTTGGCGATTGTTTTTCCTTGGTTTGCTTATATCCGTATTTGTTCTGATTTCTTTTGTCATTGCATATACCTATTTTACTCCCGCTCGTGTTTTCTATTGGAGCATATATTGTTAAGAGACTGTTTGAGCTACAACTATTTAACCTCTGCACTTCAAGAAAGGATGCAGATCTGTGAGGCCCCGCGCTCAGTGCTGCGGTCAGTGCGGCAGTCTGAAACAACCCTATAGTCGTTTATCCTATATCAGGACCCAGTACGAGGTGGCATATGAGAAATTCAAAAACAAAATCCCCCTTGACTTTGCAGAGTATCACGAGGTACCTTTTGTAGTGTTTGTAAAAGCTCTGAGAATATACAACGAGTGAATTGAAGTGGAGAAAAGACAAAAATAGATCAAACATTAAAAAGCGAAATGCGAAAAAAAAAGCTGTTTACATACCATCAAAAGCCGTAACAAAGCGTAGGGGACGAAACTTAGGTCAATGTGAGCACTGATAGGTAGAGCTTGATCTAAGGGATAGTTTTATGCAAAAAGTCTGGAAAGTTTTGTGAGGGTGGGAGAGAATCGTGGAAATCCATGATTTTTGTTTGGTTCCGCGCAACCTTAGAGTGCTCCCAGGTTGCGCGGGAGCAATCTAAAATCGAAAAACACCTACAACTCCTCTCGTTCACATGATTTTTTTGTAAGTTTTCGTACTTTTCTTTTGACCGTCGCCGCGGATGTACACAACAAATTTAGTGGCTCAACATTAATTAGTTGTAAACAAACCGATTTTTTGTATTTCTGTGCGTAAAGATTGTGTTTTGACACGCTGAAATCGTGCCCACACAGGTTGAGAACTGTCGTGTTTCAAGTTAATTTACCGTAAAGGCACCGTCCACCCAAAGTGAGGGTTCACGAAATTGAATGGCAAACTAATGTGGGCCCCCACACTAGGCCAACCCCCAAGTTTCTCCGCAAAAGATTGCTTCCGAAGCGAGAAATCCGCTCTGGAAGGTACGTGATATGTGATCCAGAGCTGATCACTCCGCCTATTTTGCAGCTTTGGCGGCTGCGGCGCTGATATACGCCGGGCGATAACCGTGCCGCAGCCCTGCAAACTGCGTTTCCACCCGTCCCGCTTTCTCCAAAATAGGGGTTTTTGGGATTCTCGACTTCATATTCGAAATCAGGGCCTTCAGAAGGCCCGCAAGCGACAAAAACATGGAAGTCGAGAATTTAGGTGAACGGTGCCTGTAACTGGTAAAATTATGCTAGATCTTGAATCCGGGCTTACTAACGAGGGAAGTACTTTCAGTGGCCGTGGCTGTTTGATATGAGATGCATATCATCTGAAGCGGCTTTAAACGCTGATTTCAAATCTGCTTTCCTTCTGCGGAACGCTCTTCCGAAGAGAGTTATGGAAGCCTGAACATCCTATTTTGGGGGCGCTCTTTGAGTTTGAGGACGCTGCTATGTGCGCTGGTGGTGCAGTAGTACAATAATTAATTGCTGACATTGAATGCGAGAGGTTGATGGTTTAAATTTGATAGAGAGCGAACTATTTTGCTTGTTGAATATGAGTTTGAAAGCACTCTAAAACGCCTGCAGACACTTACTGTAATGCCTTAGTACAAAACAGGAAAGAACATCTCGATTAATGATAGTGTGCTTTTTTGAGCTTCGTGTGGTGAAAAACGTGCTTGGCCATGTTTGGCCCTGCACAGAAAGGAAGTCAAATAGAATTTCAGGCTCTCATTACAAGCAGTTTTGCCAGAAATCTCTTTTTCTAGGTCACTTATGCCAAAGGCATTACAGTAAGTGTCTGCATGCGTTTTAGAGTGCTTTCAAACTCACATTCAATATGCAAAATAGTTCTCTCTCCACCGGATTCGAACCATTAATCTCTCGCCTTCAATGTCAGCAATTAACCACTACATTACTGCACCACCAATGCACATAGCAGCGCCCTCAAACTCAAGGAGCGCCCCCAAAATAGCATGTTCAGGCTTTATAACTCTCTTCAGAAGAGCGTTCCGCAGAAACGGAAAGCAGATTTGCAATCAGCGTTCGAAGCTGCTTCCTATATGCATCTCATATCAAAAGGCCACGGCCATCAATAGTACTTCCCTTGTAAGAATTAGACTTGTTAGAGTTGTTTTTTCTAATATTTCGTCAGGTTTCCGGGTGAAAACTTTACAGGTTTCCTTTTGCTTCTCACTCAAATCGATATCGCGTGTGGAAGCGCAACCTCTGCTGAGCTCTGTCCTACATTTCGTTCAATGTAAATGTGCCAAACAGTGGCGGTCGTAGGATTTCCCTCCGGGGGGGGGGGGGAGCAAGAATTTTTCTAAAAGGTGTATGGCGTGCCACGCGTTCCGGTAAATTTTTTGAGTACATTTCGAGTTTTTTGCGGGCCCATATGCGTGGTGGCAGCCACGCTCCAGAAAAGATTTTTTACAAGGCTAATTTGAGTTTTTAAAAATTCTAAAAATTATTTCAAATATTTATAAGAATAAACAAGTCACTTGCACATTTTTGTAAACCGTGTAAATAAATTTCACCAGTGTCGCAACTCATTTTCGGTGGGGGGGGAGGGGAGGCGCAGTCCGCCACTGGTACCAAAAGATTTCGTAAAGGTGTCCGGATGCAGCTAGCTAGAACAGCTGCTTGAGAAGGAGGCTAATCGATGACAGCCAATCTCTGGCAGTGAACTCCGGCCGCCGGCACTCGATTGTTCATTTGAGGCACACAGCTATTTACAGTCTTTTTCAACCCAGAGTAGGCGAAACATTTGAGTGGAGCAGCGCATCCGCACCGCCACTGGCTCAGCGAGATAGATCAGAATGAAGAGACGCAGACTGCATAACGGCGCGAATCGTTGCGAAGCGGACTCCCGCCAGTCCAATTTCCGCCTAACTGAGTTGAAACTTACTGTACTTTGGCTCACTTCGCAGCCGGTCATGCTTTTGGCCGTAGAGCGGAGCAAGCTCCACGAACTTGAGTTTCTTTCTGTACTTCGGCCCGTGATTGATACATTCTCCTCTCTTCTTGTGCTTACTGAATCTTTTTTCCCTCGGTTGTAACAGTTCATTATTTGTACCTCTTGTTTTACTCATCTCACTTGAGACGCCAAAACCGAAGTTTTCGATATCGAAATGTGAGTGTTGTGATTAGTAAAATTGTCACCCTCGTAGTTTTTAGATTTTTTTCAACTCAGTGGTGTCTTTCATATCTTTACATAGTCTCCGTCTTCATTTAGGTTAGATATATGCGCTGCTTTCGCGGATGCCTTCGTATAGGGCTCTGTCAAGGTCGGTACTTTGAGACCTAATGCTTGCGCATTCAGCTTTCTTGGCTTCCTTTTCGTGGTCTTCTGCTACAAAATGTCAGCTTCCAGTTACATGATGCGATTGTGAAAACTACGGGTTGTTCGAAAGGTTTGAGGCCTGTGGCGGCAAACTCCGGTTTTCACGATCAACCAGAGCCCTATACACTGTTCTCAGTTCCCTTATGCTTAATTTTCTTATTGCAGCCTAACGGTGATGGCAGATCCGTTAGCAAACCTTTTGGCTCAGAAACAAGTTCTATGCGCCTTCTATGAGAGTTCTATGAGAGCTGCTAATAGACAAGTTATAGATCGCATGGGATACAATCAATGCACTTTTTGTTGGATGAGAAAACTAATCTTCCGGTCTTACCAATACGCAACATCAGCTTGAGCAAAGACAACATCTGCCATCGGACTGTGCAACGCTATTGACTGCTTTAGATAGACATATGTCTATAACGAAAGTGTTTGTAACGAAAGCCCTTTCTTAGCATCTTGTAGTAACCGTGAGATATTTCTTGGTTGTGCTCGGCGTTTCTCGGTGTTGTTGCTGTTAATGCTGTTTGTTTTTCATTTAGCTTTCAGTCCAGCCTTGTCCTCTTTCATCATTTCCATTCTCAATCTGTCCGTGTTATGCCATCGCCATATACTGGACTAAGAGAGACTTAGATAAATGCCTTATAGTATAGTCTCTCATGAATCTGACCTCTTCTGCACACGTCCATTCTCCATTATGTACCTCCCAGTTTGGTGTTTCATGCATGCTCAGGCCTATCTAATCCAGCTTCCACAAACTAAAAAAGTTCTTAGTCACTTCCAGAAAATAGTGTTAAGATAGAGCTAATATTAGGCTGAAAACTATGGTGTAAAGATAGAGCTAATATTAGGCTGAAAACTAAGTTTTGCAACTACTTTCATAACTCAACTCCCTTTGGATGTAGCGCATTCAAACTTTGGCAGTATCTAGAGCG